ATCAAGATAGACAAACAGAACTCCAGGAACTAATATTGAAAGTAGCAGGCAACAAGAAATTAGATATTGAAAAAGAAGCAACATTTTCGCAAGACGCAGTGTAGAATAACATAGAGATTTTCAAATATTCTCTAGATGAGGACAAAAATTTTGGAGATTACTTCAGAAGACATGAAGACATTGGACAGAAGCGAAAAAGCTACGTCTATTTCTTAGAAAATTGGGAACTGAAGAATATACAAAGTTCGTGGATTATATCTTGCCAAAAAGGACGAACGAATTAAAATTTGACAAAGCAGTGACATGTCTTAAAGAACTCTTCAGCCCCAAAACATCACTCTTTCATAGGAGGTGGAAATGCCTTAACCTGGTAAAGGGCGTTAATGAGGATTATTCCACGTTTGCCGCAATAGTAAATAAACATTGTGACGACTTCAAACTAGCGGAATTAACACCGGACAATTTTAAATGTCTCATCTTTGTTCAAGGGCTAGTTTCTACAAAAGACAGCGAAATGCGTAGAAGGATGCTGGCAAAATTACAAAATGAACATGGTCTAACATTACAGCAATTAGCAGAAGATTGCCAGATATGTTTAAACATTAAGAAAGACGCAAAGGACATTGAAGAATCGGCTGTTTCTCATATACGTAAGTTAAACACAAATCTACGTTCTTCACCCTCCCCGGAAAGAAAAGTAAAAATTTACGACAATGAAAAAAGATTCTCACCCTCCCCGGAAAGAAAAATAAAATATTATGATAAGAGAAAAACTACAACATACAGGACAAATTATGACGAATATCGAAACAAATATAAGCCCCCTCCAGCAGCATGTCATCGATGTGGAGGATTACATTGGAACAAGGATTGCCGCTTCAGATATAAAAACTGACATGAATGTGGAAAAAAGGCCACAAGGCATCCCAATGTAGAAATAGAAAAGATACTAATAGAATAATGATGACAACACCAATGTAAGAAAATATGTAGAACTGGAAATTTTAAACAAAAAGATTAAATTACAACTGGATTCGGGTTCCGACCTCACGATAATCAACTTACAGACATGGAAAAAACTCAATAGACCTACGATGTTACACACTCAAAAAATTGCCAAATCGGTTACAGGAAAACGAATAAAATTTGAAGGAGAAATAATAGTGAATGATAAATTTCACGGTAAAACAAAAAAACTGAAGATATACGTCATGAAAGATACTGAAAACTTTTGGGACCTACCTATTAACTCGTTTTGCAAAAAGTTAGAGGTTGAAAAATCAGATGCCATAAAATTGAAGGAAGAATTACACAAGCAAGTTCCTGAGGTATTTTCAAGCGGGTTGGGACGATGCAACAAATTTAAGGCCAAAATAGAATTGAAAGAAAACGTCCAACCAATTTTTAGAAAGAAGCGAAATGTCCCGTTTGCTACGATAAAAAATAGATAAAGAATTGGAGAGACTTGAACAAACTGGGATGCTATCTAAAACAGAGTTTAGTGAGTGAGCTGCGCCGGTGGTTTACGTTAAAAAGAAGTCGGGAGAAATTCCCGTATGCGCAGATTTTTCGACAGGACTCAACAAGGCAATAAAGGACCACCATTACCCACTACCGAGCAAGAGCAAAAATCAATATACACCGATGGTGCCAAAGAGATCATTCAAACCTGAAGAACGGGTTTATTTCAAAAATCTTAGAAACAATATGTCGTACTGGGAGCCGGGTACAGTAATCAATAGAATCGGAAATCTAATGTATACCATAAAAGGCTAAAAGTTCACATACAGAAGACATATTGACCAGCTACAGAAAAGACGAATTGAGGAACCAAGCTCGTCATCCGCAGAAAATGACGACACTATGGATACAATCTTTGAAGCGTTTGAGATACACAGACCGCAGGAAAATACAGTAATGAGAAGGTCAAATAGGAAAAGAAAATTCGTCGAACCACTAATCATCAACCACAAGAGACAAAAATATTAACTCACCTCAAAAAGGGATCTAAGAAGGGGGGTGTTACAGGGGTCCCACCTTTTTTCGGATATAATGGACTCGTCCTGCTGCCACAAAATAGCCACAGTCAGGCAGAGAAGGGGAGTCGTACGGGAGTCGTCTGTGAGTGTCGGATGGAATGAAGTAACCTCTTGTAGAAGTCAGTTACAAGCACGTAGACTCTAAGGAAGTCCTACTTCGAGACTGTATATATCTATCTGTATTTGCTACTAACCATGTTCCTGGATTTTACTAACAGCATTACCTTTTGTATTTTGTGTAAATACATTTAATTTCTTAGCTTAAATACTTGCGTTTGTCATTTATTGGATACCTATTTTTCAAGCGGGATCCACAACCCTTTACGACTTCAAAGTGGGCTTATGCTCAGCTGCATCAGGTCGCCGCATATGTCAAGCGTTTGGGGATAGTGCTGTGGATGAACGTTCTGCAAGGCGTTGGTTTCAAAAATTCAAGTCGGGAGATTTTTCGCTCCATGATGAGCCTCGCAGTGGACGACCACAGGTCTTGAATGACGGAGTCTTGAAGGTGGCCATTGAAGAGGACAGTAGTCTAACGTGTGGTGAACTTGCAAGACAGTTCAACGTTTCCGATGAAACAGACTTCACCTGCACCGCCTAGGTAAGACGTACAAACTGAGCAAGTGGGTTCCGCAAACGCTGTTGGAGGTCCACAAGAGACAACGAGTGGCAGCCTGCGTATCGCTGCTTTCTCGCCACCGTACCGCATCCTTATTCAATCGAGTGCTTACCAGTGATGAAAAGTGGGTTCTGTACGAAACTCTCAAGCGTTCCAGACATTGGTTGTCTCTTCAGGATGCTGTCCCTCACACCGCAAGACCGCCTATGCACCCACGCAAGATTATACTTTGTGTCTGGTGGACAGGTCGTCAAGTGGTTCATTATGAACATCTATCAACGGGCCAAACGGTCAGTGGAGACCTATACTCGCACCAATTGAAACGTGTGCAACAGGCATTGCGCAAGAAGGAGCCAACACTGGTGAATCACCTCCATGACAACGCCAGGCCGCTTGTCGCGCGAGTGGTCAGGGATACCATACAGCAACTTGGGTGGGAGACTTTGTGCCATCCACCTTATTCACCTGATCTTGCGCCATCCGATTACGACCTCTTCCACTCCTTGGGTAATCATCTTCGTAGGATATCCTTCACCAATGAAGCAGACTTGTGCAAAGCCCTCACGGACTTCTTTGCGTCACCCCCCAGCCCCGAGTTCTACCGCAAGGGCATTGAACAGCTGGAGACACGTTGGCAGAAGGTGCTGGATGCCGATGGCGATTACTTCGAAGACTAAATATAAGTTACACATAGTGTGAAGCGTTTTCTTTTTTTCCTTTAAAAAACGGACAGAACTGTTTTGGTTACCTTGTAATTTATCATTTATAATTTATTACTTAATTGTTTGTAAGCAAATGGGATAAATTAGTTACTTTATCATATCCACCGATCGTGGGTTCATGATTAAACCATAATGAATAGTCAATTGAAGCTTTTTGGATTTCTATAAAATAAGAATATATGTCAATATCTAAAAATCTCTGTGTATTTTCCTACCGTTTGCAACAATATAATTATGTGAAGTAGGTTTTTCTGCTCTCACCACAATTAAGGGCAAAAAGAGAGAAACTCTTTAATATGTTGACAAGGAAATGAGTTTGCATATCAGACATACGTCCAAGTATTGAAGAATTCGCTAAGACTCATCAGGTTTATGTTTCTCATTAACACAAGAATGAATAAACTTAAGGTATTTTTCATTTTATATTTTTTTTATTGCATTATTTTTTTCTGCAATATTTGACTTCATTATAACATATATTTCCGAAATTTGTATATAGTGCACCTAAAATTATTGGTAGGACTTCAATTGCGTCGCGACTTCAAAAAGTTTGAGAACCACTGGACTAAGTCAAAGTAAATTATGAAGGATTGCTAAGTGACGTATTTTAAAACAAGAGGGTAAATGTTGTAAACTGATCTTTTTCTTTATATATATATATATATATATATATATATATATATATATATATATATATATATATATATATATATATATATATATATATATATATATATATATATATATATATATATATATATATATATATATATATATATATATATATATATATATATATATATATATATATATATATGTTCGAAAATTCCTTGACATACACAAATCATCAAGAAACACATATATTAACAGGCACGGTGGAGTAATGGACAGCGGCTAGGATTGAGGAACAAATTAGCCGAGTTCGAATTACAGTCGAATCCATTACATTCACTTACGTTAGAACACCGGGGAAAGAAATTTGAATATCTTACGGTTCTCTCCAGCTATGAGTAAATAGCAGGACAGACTGGTTATATAGCCTTGGATGGCAACTGGTCTAGAAGAAGGAAAACTCTGAATTCAAAACCTGCGGAGGGTGAATGGAGTCTCTTAGCCTTGGTTGGCAATCCATTTAGTGTTGGTGTCACGATAAAAACACCCTTGGTAGCCCTAGCTTAAGCATCAAGAATTCAGACCGGTTGACAAGATTATGAATTACACCAATCAAAATATTGGTGAGTTCAATCTATACTTCCGCAAGATGATGATGATGATGACATATATATACGTACATGTTTCATGTATGTGTGTGACGTCAATCAACCTGATGTCGACATAAATAACAACAGGAGGAAAATATACATGTTAAATGCAAACATCTTCTTACGTACACAATTAATATTACACGCCAATTCCGAATAAAACGGTGTGAATTTTTCTTGGCTGATTAAAATTAATGCGATCCACTGAAAGGAAATAATAAAAAAAAAACACTGTAAAAGAACATGTGATATGAGAGGCAAATCATGGAATTTTCATAATGTGACGTCAAATGCAGTAATATGTCTGTTCTTCTATCGAGCCAAAGCTTAAAAAAATCCGTTGCTTCGTCACATCTAGGGAAATTACAATAGTTTCTATCTATCTATCTATCTATCTATCTATCTATCTATCTATCACGTTCTGTTCATTATCTATTATCTGTTCATTTTCTATCTATCTATCTATCTATTTATCTATCTAGTCAGGTCTTCAATATCTATCTATCTATCTATCTATCTATCTCTCAATATATATCTATCTATCTTTCTATCTAGTCAGGTATTCTATATCTATCTATCTATCTATCTATCTAACACATTCTGTTCATTATCTATCTATCTATCATGTTGGCAGGAATGTTATTTTCCATTTTATCGTGTATATTTCAAATGAAGTTACCAATAATTATAGAAATATTTCATCTTGTATATTAATCCTTTTTCATCCTATTATTCATTTCCATCTGTTAAGATAAATATACATGTCGTGCTCGCCAAATTAATTAGGTTTTGAAGTAAAATAAATGTCCATCTTATGTTCAAACTCTTCAATTGATGTCAACATTAAATCATCCGTAAGTTTCTGCAAACACCTAAACAAGTGATAGCTAGAAGAAGCAAAGTTGAAAATATAGCATGCAGAAATTCTGCGCAACCGAGTTACCGATAAGAGATCTTTAGTCAGACATATAGGGTGAGGAAATGGCATTACCGTGATGGAAGATTACTCGCCTTCTGTTGGACTAAGGATGGTTGCTTTCTGATCAAACCCGCTACCAGACGAAGAAGTTGGTGGCAATCGTGATCGACGTTGATTGTTTGATTATCTTCTAACCGTTCAAAATTGATGATTCCTTGGAAATATCCCCATGATCTTTGGATTAAGTTCTCCTGTCGGTTACTGAGCAGGTCTGTTTCCTCGACAGATCCGCTGACGACAGTACTTGGTAAAGGATGCTTTTCACATCACCAGTAACAAGACTGTCCAAACGTTGACATTTTGCAAGTTGACTTTTTTAAACGATCGACATATTGTTTGTATTATCGATAAACAGGTCAGTGCAAAAAAGATTTTTTTAAAACTAAAAACTTTCAAAGATAAACACGGAGTAATTAAATTACATATGTACTACGAAGCTGGGTGCCTTATTTAGGAGGTGCCAGTCAGTTGAAGTAATAAAAAAAATTAATCATTTAAAATGGCCGATTTGTTACATGCACCTACCATTTCAAAATAACGAAAGTTATTTAATAAACGCTAGATAGATAGATATTAGGCATTTCAAAATAAAAATGAAAAATGCTATTTAACATAAGCTACTATATTTAAAGTATTATATATATATCCATATATCTATCTAATATATATATATATATATATATATATATATATATATATATATATATAATTCTGTGAATATATATATACCGATTTCAATAATCTGATCATTTCTCTCTTTATATATATATATATATATATATATATATATATATATATATATATATATATATATGTATGATATAACGGTTTAAATCCTGGGGTTCACGCCTTTGCGATCGACAGAGAAACCCAGGGTCACAAACTCACATTAATATAACTAAGTATGTTAGCGTCCTTTCCAATGAGACAAAAACGCATCCATAATACATAAATAATATATACGAAATTAAAATTTACACACAATCACACACACACACACATATATATATATATATATTATAAACACACACATATTTTAAATTCATTTTGGTAAATGGGTTGAAAATATTTAAAATCACCAGAATGTATGGTTATATTTAATTTTAAATATTACTCAAAATTTTTGGGAATGAAAATGGTTAACATGTTATTTAATTTTAAAAGTTAAATTAAAATTCGTGTTAATATTTTCCATTTTTGAAACATCACGTTAAACAATCTAAAAAATTTTAAATCTAATTTATAATCAATCTTATATAATGGAATTTTTTTCAATTTAATTAAATAACAGTGGCGTTTTTTTCCCTCAACCATTTTTTATATTTTGTTTTATATTTAATAAACCAACCTCGAAGTATACAATATTCCTTTTAAACATATTATATATATATATATAATTTATTTAACATATATATATATTTTTACATTCATCTTTTTAACACCGAAAACTTTTTATAATTTTAAACGTGAATATTATTCATCCAGACAGCATCAATAAAATGAAATATTTCATCCAGAAGCATCATGAAGAAAGGATTAAATAAAAGATTTGCTGTAACCCTTGCAAGTCAGATCACACACCAAGTCACATGATGTACGAACTTGTTCAATCTGTTAGGAAAAACGCTTGGCTATTTCATTCTATTTCAGTTTTACTGCTATCCCGTCATTCATTTCTTCCGTGTATCCTTTCACACCCCTTTTCTCTCTCTCTCTCTCTCTCTCTCTCTCCCTCTCTCCGTATCTTACTCCCCCTCTATCACTCTTTTATGCTTTAAAAGAAATTATATTAAAAAAAAATCTGTTATTTTTCTTTCTTCCTTTTCCATTTTCTTCACCTTCTGTTAATCTAGTATATAATTCCAGATGAATTATTTTCAGTCTCAAGGTTTTTCAGGTTTCGGCCTGAAGAGATGAATATAAAAATATTCAAGAAATAAATTATAACCGGAATGGATCGTTAAGATTTTTTCTTGATTTATTATCTCTCTCTCTCTCTCTCTCTCTCTATATATATATATATATATATATATATATATATATCTATGGATGACATATATATAATATACAATTAACCCGGATATAAGAGAGTTGTCAAATCCGGAGAAAAGTCTCATATATCCGGGTTCTCTTATATCCGGGTTTGGTCTATTTTGTTTAGGTAAAAGTATGGCTCTAATTTGGGACCAGAAAATCTCTCTTATATTCAGGTTTCTCTTATATCCGGGTCTCTTATATCCGGGTTACACTGTATATATATATATTATATATATATATAAATATATATAATTATCTTAATTATTTTAGGATTTGTTAATACATACATATATATATATATATATATATATATATATATAAAGAAAAATATATACGGAAAAAACAAACAAAAGTCCTTATATGCAATTATGCTGTTTTAATGTTAATATGTCAACGTCGGACATATATATATATATGTATGTATGTATTATCAAATCATATATGGATGTGCGTGTGTGTGTGTGTATTCTTTTCTCTTCCCGATCATTATTAATGTTTCTGTTCCTAATTCTTCCCCTCGCTGTGTGGAAGAATTAGGAACCTTGTGATTTAGTGTCTTTATTGCCTTCCATAGAGTTATACAACCAAAAAAATTGTAGGTACTAGAATAGGTATAGCTATATATGTAGGTAAATATCTATATCAGTATATAGGTAGGTCCTATTTGTATGCATGTTGTTATTGAGTTAGTTTGGTATGTAGGTAAATTTGTATGTATGTATGTATGTATGCAGGTAGGTAGGTATTCGAATAGGTATCTCTATCTATAAAAGGCAGGATGTGTGTGTGTGTGTAACGAATGCACAGCCGCAATTTTTGACGGATTTGCACCAAAATTTACCTGCACATTCTCCAAGTTAGTGGGAAGGCCAAGACCGACTTTGCATTTCCAAACTCCCATCAATAGTGGAAATAATCGATTTTTTCATGCTTCTACTGTAGTTTTCATGTATATTTATTTTCTACTGATCCAGAAATTAAGATAATAACTGGCTGCCACGAATAGGCAGGAAGATTCTATTGACCAGCGTGAGAGCCAACAACTGACTGATACGAATGTTAACTAGCAGTTTAACTGAATGTATGGATTGCTTTATGTATATATTTAGAGTTATAGGAATTATACTCATTGATAATACAATTATTATAGCCTCATCCATATGTAAAAAAAAAGGCTAAAAACAATGGATGCATTATTAATAAAAAAATGTATCAATTATGAACAGGGCCAAAATGTACTGACCGTATATGTAAAATAAAACATTCCTATAACTCTTATTAAAAAAAGGCAAAAAACAATTGAAGCATTACTAATAATAAAGAAAAGGTATCAGCTATGAACAGGACCACAATATGCTGACCGTGTTTGGAAAATAAAATATTCCTATAACTCTTATTAAAGAAGTCTAAAAACAATAGAAGCATCATTAATATTAAACAAATGGTATCGACTATGAACAGGGTCACAATGTGCTGGCCGTGTTTGAAGAATAAAACATTGCTATAACTCTTATAAAAAAGGCTAAAAACAATGAAAGCATTATTAATAGTAATAAAAATAGTCTTAACTATGAACAGGGCCTCAATGTCTTGATCTTGCATGTTTATTTTTATTAAGTCATTGACAGTTCTTGTCAAATATACGGTTTGGTTCCTAAATGAGATTTTGTTGTGTATGATACACCTAATTTACATAAGCGGACTACCGACAATATAAATATGGGTTGGTACCGGAAGACGGGGAAAATAGTAGAGATTAAGAAATTGAATCCAGAGACTCTGCCCGACTGCGATTTAGTCAACCCATTATGCAGGAACAGTCTTCCCAAGAATATACCAAACTAACTGTAAATATTGTGTACCTATTCTTTGTTTCAATACATTTTGTTAACGTACATTTTGTGTTGTATTATTCCATGCTTATTTAAGCTTCAACAGATTTCATGTCCCTAACCGTTGCAATAAATTCACGAATACCTAGGACAATTCAAAGGCAAATGTCTGCTTAAATGCTATCTTTTATATTAAGCAGAATGCAATTCATAAGATGTTGCAGTTGGCAGTGAATCTTTGAACAGCCACAATTCACATTCTATACTAATTCACTGTTCTGATAATATCAAATTATGGTTAAGCTCAATATAAAAATACGTGGCGCATCTCAAATTATCCAAACAATATTTAGCGATTTTCGTCGTTTAAATAATGTATCCTATAAAAGAACACAATGAATATTTCAGATTGTTTTTTATGTATGATCTTCTTCGTGTCAGATCATGGCTCTCCACACAATTGCAGATCTTAGTAAAGCTTGACGTTTGATCAAGTCGACCTCCCAAATGTATCCATTCACATTGGTTTATTTAAAAATGTTTGTTAAAAGAAATTAATTCCATTGACATGTTTCATAATTTCTGGGTGCCTTATTTAGGATGCCATCTAGTTGAACCAATTACGTGTTAATTAATCATTTAAAATGGCCGAATTGTTACATGCGCCTAACATTTTTAATTAGGCATTTTTAAAAAAAGTATTTAATAAAACAATCATATTAAAGTATTTAACTATCTATCTATACATATATATATCTATCTTATCTGCATCTATCATTATCTATATATATATATATATATATATATATATATATATATATATATATATATTTTTTCTAGCTTTATCTATCTATCTATCTATCTATCTATCTAGTCTGTACATATCTATTTACATATTATAAATCACAATCTCAGGATGTTTATACGTATATATATATATATATATATATATATATATATATATATATAATAGACTGAATTTTCAACATAATTTTACTTATAAATATACTTTTAGATACAACATTTCAAATATATTTAAAACAGACTAAAACTAGATAGATAGAATAGATATAATAATATTTGGAGTTATTTAATTTATATATTATATATATATATATATATATATATATATATATATATTTAGATAGATAGATAGATTTTAGATAGATATAAATATATAGATATAGATTTTTGAGATAGATATGATTAAATTCTAAAATGCATAAATAGTTTTTTTAAATAAAATTTCTATTTTGAAATGCCAAATAAAATGGATTTTAATGTACAAAAAATTTTAAATTAATTTTTGTTTTTAATAGATGTATATTGAAATATATATATATATATATATATATATATATATATGTTTATATTAAAATCTTATATATTTCAATATCTTTAATATGAAATCTAACTATATATATAATTAAGACTTTATTATATATATATATATATATATATATATATATATATATATATATATATATATATATAATTTATGTGTGTGTGTGTGTGTTTTGTGTCTGTCTTATAAAAAAATATCTATTTATATTTATCTTTTATTTCAAATTTAAATAAAACATCTAACTATATATTTATTTTTTAAAATATAAAAAGTCTATCTATTCTATATCAATCTATCTATCTATATTATCTTATCTATCTATCATAGAGATAATAAATCAAATAATTAGATATTTGCAACTGCATATGCATCTATCAATGCATATCACATGGTATCAGGAAATAAATATATAAATAAAATATCATAATGTAATTCTATAATGAATTATACATGACATAAAATTGTCTATAAAAATATATATTAATAAATATACATATATCTATCTTTTGTAGCCATTTTTTCAAGATTCTATATAAAAGCAAAATAATTCAAAATCTGGTATATAACTATATATCATAAACAATAAAATCATATTTATTAAAAATATATGAATATATTTTTTTTGAAAAATTTTTAACCAACTTAACCAACCTATCTTCCATCAATCGTATTTCATCTATCTAAGAAATCTATCTATTCTATATATATATATTTCATATTTTATCTATCTAATTTTCATTTATTAAATATCCTGCTTTTAAGATTTCATCTTGTATATATCTTTTCTTATTGATAATAAACTTTGTATTTTTGGTTATACAGTATCTGCAAAGAATGACCTGGAAAGGTTTATCTATCTTTTTAATTTTTCTTGAATTTAAGTTCAATTCAATATATCTTATAATTATCAAATAAATTTATTT